GGGCCTGTGCTTTCGGAAAGGCCTAGAAGGCCTGGGAAATTTCCACGCTGCTCGGCCTGTATTTTGCTTCAACCAACTGGCGCGACGAAACTGCCTGGACCCCAAATACGAAATTGACAGCCAAGGGCCTCTCGTAATTTGTTAGGCCCGCCTTCACTTAGGACGGGCACATTTGCAGCAGGGGCCCTTTAGGCCTGCCGAGGACCCAGATCCTCGCACTAGTATGAATAAATAAAAATCGGATTCGGACCGAACAAATTGAACGTGAAAATTGACCGCGCAATTTCAAGAATTCATCGAATCTCCAGCGTTGCAGCAGGTCACACATCGTTGAGTTTTCAACGAGGACCTGCCTCAACGCTGCTAGCTGGACAAGGTCCCAGATAGCGGAAAAAAGAAAAAAAGAAAAAAAAAAGAACGCAGCTCCACCAAAACGAATAGAGGGCCTCGCTCCACTACCCTCCAAATGTGCAAAACGGGACTGAAGACTCCGCTAGAACATGGAAAGATACACCAGGCCCGTAGTCGACCTTTGTGCAAGTAGTAGAGCCACACCCGCGGTCCATTCTCACTATGCTCCACGCACGCCACACGATTTCGCCATGGCATTTCCTTGCACCCGTCCCCCTGTGTCGGCCGTTTTCCCAAGACTGGCAGCCGGGCCTCACAGGAGCGTCACACGAGACCTGGCGTACACTTTAGTAAGAGGGTAGGGAAAAAAAAAAATCACACTGTATTCTTGTAATGACCAGGAATGAGTCTGAAGTAGATCTTTGAACGAACTAAGATTGCAAGCAACAAACTGCTTGGCTTCGCATCCTTGGAGAATCATTCACCACCTGGTTGTTCAACAGAACGCTGCTCCACAGAATAAAGGCGAGCCAGGACCACAAGGTCTTTCTTTTTCTTTTTCTTTTTTTGCACCCTGTGGTTGTTCAAATTAATTAGATACCGGTGGATGTAATATGGGGGGAAAGGATGAGAAGTGTCCCGGCAGGTTCGGTTCAAGATGTCTACGTTAAGACCATATCCAAAAGGCTTGTAATCACGCCGTACAGAGCATGAGATGTCCTTGACTTCGGCCGCTGTTTGCCAACTGTTTTCGTCTTGAATCCATGATAAACTCCATTAGGTCATGCAATCCAACTTCAAAGATGAGCAGCACACACCGAGGACCATGGCTACAGGGGAAGACTATCCACACAGCGACCCAGTGGGCAGCAGACAGCGGTGAGCAGTAGATGCAGTTTATAGACATGTATGCCAAATTAATGTGTTTTCTTTTCTGAGAAATGGGGAGGAGGGGTCAACTAGGGACAGAGAGGTAGGCAAGGGAGGTACTGTCGGAATGACTGGAGAACTCTTCCTCATAATATGCATACTTGTATTCCTTCTCGTCTTCGTAGCTTTTGTGTCGTACCCTTTGGAGGAACAAGCTATCGAGTTCGTCCCTGGACAGAAGAATGTGCCCGCCTCAAATGGGCCGAACCCAATTGGGAGACGAAGAACTGTTTGCAACTTCGCATGCAAAGGTTTTGCTTTCTATGGCCGGAAATGCAAAGTGCCTGCGGAAAAAGACCACACTTAATGTTGCCCATCTGTACCACTTGGGGAGCCCAAACAATAAAAAATAACCAAAGTTGTTTGCTTTTAAAAGCCAATGGGTTCAGACTCTTCACAGTGAAAACAATAGACATTGGTTTGACCCCGAAAGTAAAAAGATTTTGGCAGCAAATGCAAATGGCCGCCACAAAGTAATAAGGGCGCCAGACCCTCTGTGCCACACTGTGATTTGAATTTGAACAGTACCTGTAGGTGCGGTCGGTTCATTCATGCGCCCACCGGTGCACACAAAACTTATGAATAATCAAAAGTGACTTGCAGGAGTTGGATATCTCATGTAAGCAGTTTATTCTGAATTTTTAATTCCCGCCTCCACCGCAGTTTGCAACGCATCCACTGTCCATCCCCAATACAGTTGTGGATCATCTTTGTGCCTAAAATCCAGCTTGGCAGTGTTTCAAAAGGCGAACACACATGAGAGCCGTAATAACAAGGCAAACCACTACTTCAAAGACCGTCTTCCTTGAGCTGCTGGTCTTGAACAGCCTGAGCGTGGGGGAATATATATATATGCCTGCGATGCTGCACAAATCAGCCATGACCTCGCCAGTTCGCGAAGGGATGGCAGGGTAACGGAGTTCGAGATCACCTGCAGCATTGCTGCAATAAGCAGACGTCCATCCCAGCCACTGCAACTCGAACTACACAGAGGAGCGGATCTCTTTCTCTTTACGGCACGTTTCCTCCTCAGGTAGGTCTAGAAGCCATCAGGAGTCGGCATCTACTCGTCGGATTCCATGGCGGTCCTCAGGAGGGAAGCCACTGGCCAGGCTAGATTGGCAGGATCATTCATAGGATGCCTTGGAATAATTCTGCTTGGTTTTGTCATTCAGTCCCTTGCAGTCCCTACAGATGAGAGCAACTCCTTATGGAAGGTGACTACGGCTGCTCAGAATGAAGAAACAGGAACTGGCATCGTGAGCAGGCATCTTGGAGATGATGGGTATGGCGACGAGTACGGCAAAGGGTACTACAGGGATGGCAAATCTGGTTATGACAAGTACTACAGTCAGAAGAGCTACCATGGTAAGGAAGACAAGGACGTGTACTTCAAGAAGCACAGTGACAAGAAATACAACGAAAAAACGTACGAAAAGAAATACGGCGATCACAAGTACGACGAGAACAAGAAATACGAGGAGGACAAGAAGAAGTATGAGAAGTACGGTGATTATGACAAGCATGATGATGGTAAGAAGCATGGCGAGTACTATAACGATTACAAGGAGAAGAAGCAGGGTGGCAAGAAGTACGATGCAAAGAAGTACAGTGTAAAGTACCATGAGAAGAACTACCACGACAACAAGTACGAAGAGAAGAAGTACAAGGACAAGGAATATGACAAGAAGGATGACGAGAAATATGGCGAGAGCAAATACGGCAAAGAGTATGACAACAAGTTTGATGACGACAAATACAAAGGAGAGAACTTCGGAGTGAAGTACATGGAGGAGTATGGTAGGAAATACAACCGTTACGATAAGAAGAAGTATGGTTACGGTAGCAATTACAACAAGAAATACTACGGAAAGAAAAAGTATTACAACAAGTATGATAGGTATGGCAAGAAGTATTATAAGTACGACAACAAGTATGGCAGGAAGTTTGGGAGGAAGGGTTATTACAAGGACTAGGGCAAGAAGAAGGATGAGATGAGAAGGGGCATGATGAGAAGCAGTACAACACCCAGCAGTACGATCACAGAAGTATGACAACGAGAGCTATGACGAGAAGTACGCTGATATGGAGTACAAGAGTAACAGCTGTAACTAGAGGTGAATGAGCAATCATTCAATTAAAACTTACAAAAGATTACGCTTTCCGAAAATTATTGCCATTGCCATGCACGGGAAGTTTGACCAGAAGAGACAAAATACGTAGAGTGAAAAATCTGAGTTCATGCACGCACTGCATGAGGATTTACTTTCCTAGAGGATCCAACGTAGAAGCATTATTAATCGCAAAGTTTACCAGCTCTGTTCTGGGGCTCCCACCGTGGCCAATTATGCAATATGGTGAGAAAACTTGTAGTGCACTAAGGAGCATCTACCACAGTCACTCTCCAAACTGGAGCATTAAGCCCCACAGGTAGGTCAGTGGGTTGCAGGTGGTTTGCAATAAAAAAGCAGAATTCAAAATCTGGTTCTTCACAAAATCAGACTGTTGTCTCCTTTTTAATTGTACTCAGATAAACCCTGTCATAAGGTTTTAGAGCCAACTTGCTGCCAAGAAGAACAGCATCACCAACCACAGCTAACGGCAAAAGATTGACTGCAATGCAAAAGTTTCATGACAAGGTAGAAACCACTCATAATCACTGGTGGATGTCACAATACATGAACCAGAGCCGAATGCATATTGCTTGAAATTTCCACTTGCTTTGGACACCTAGTTATTCAAACTACCCTTCTGTGCTGTCTTTGCAGCAAGAATGAGCAAATCAAGCTCTTATTCTTCTGCTTACTCCACTTTGAGTGTGCCAACTTTGCCGATGATCGATGTTTCACTAACATGTACCAAGAGTGCACACAGAGCTCGGCTGTCATCCTGGAGGTCATTGCCACTCAGTCAGAATGAGAACATCCGTAAAGCAGATTTCAACATCTCGTAGAAGACCAGACGTAATTGAGCCGAAATGAAGGCAGAAATCAAAGTGAAATGCATACCACATAGGAATGAGCAATACCGCGAAGTTTCTTTGTAAAGAAAGCACTTCCACCTCATCCAATCATCAACACAACGACAATGTAGTCGTTCTAGTGATGCCATGAATGCCCTTCCTTCTTCCTAGTTCCTACTCGTCTAGCCTATCTACACGTGGGCAAAGGTCCGTGTGTGAATCGCCTGATGCTGCTTGAAGACTTTAGTCACACATCCTGCCTTCATCGACACCTAGTATGTCCCTCTTTCCCAATTCCTCCTTTCTCTCTTCCTTCCGCAAGGATCACCGGACTTCCACCATCTGCTGTTAATCCGGGGGCGAATCCGTCAAGAGCGCCACAAGCTAATCCTTCTCCATTAAATATATCCTGCTTCCTGCACCTCCCCTGTCTATGCAATCTGTTCTCCCTGCTCCTCCTGTTCCCCTTCAGGTCGCAGCTCCTCCAGGCAGAATAGAATGTTATAATTGCAAGCAACCGGGACATTTCGCCTGGGATTGCACGCTTTCAAAACGAAACCAAGTGCCCCCTGCGAAAGATGAGCTTGAATGGGTAGAGCACTAGTCAGAACCTGACCCTCAGTTCCGGATAGGGGAGGTCGATGTCCTTCAGACATTAAAAAGATTGGATATTCGAGTCCTTGTACTGGTTGGCCATCACCTGATGACTTCCGAAGCCGCCCATGACAAGCTTCCGTAACAAGGTGAGAAGAACCAGAAAAGGTTCACGTATCAGTGTCCAAAGGATGCTGAAAAGGAAAGAAGAAGCGACTGGGTCATCGCCCCCTTCTCCTAATCCTCCAGGCGCCGCTGATCCATCGGAAAGGTAGGAGGCACCAAAAGCTGCTCGAGTGGCAACGATCTCTTACGCAGAAAAACATCATTTCATTCGTGGTAGACATGTGTTAAGGAAAAGTGCCAAGTGAGATTGTGAGGTCTGGGGAAAGCCGTTCAATGCTTTGATTGATACAGGTTCGCCCATTGTTGCGCTTTCACTCGACAGTGTACAGAAGGTTGGACGATAAAATTCCATCCCTCCGTTCTCCTGAAAAGACAACTATGTCTTGGCCAATGAGGAAACCATGAACACCGTAGGATTGATTGAAAACATGACTATCAAGGTTGGCGGGGTGCATGTGTTGGTGAATGCATTAGTAATCGCTGTGCAATTGTATTATGTGTTGCTGGGATTACCTTGGGCAATGGTCGTGGGAGTGCATCTTCACTTCGATTTCCGTGAGTTGATTCTCGCACATACATGAGCACAAACTATTCCCCTTCGTGTCTCTATGCACCACCTAAAATAGACGATGGCGACGAAAAAGGTAGCACGAATTGGGATGATTGGGATTTGGGATAGCCAGGAATGAAAGTCGGACGAGTCGGATGATTGCTTGCCTGAAGAAAGCTACAGTGATTACCTTCCGTATGGTGATGATGAATATGATGAGAGCAATTACACTGAGATTTCGAATTACATGCCGATTGACAAAGACTGGGGCAAACTTTCCCGACTCTTCGTCCAAGCGGTGAAGGACTTTCGAATGATCCCTCGAACAACGCATTCTTTCTGTTTGGGTATGAATTGTTTCGAACCTAGCTCGGATCCGCCTCCACCACCTTCGTTACCCTTACGGAACCACGAGTTCCTGCTGGTTCCTTTTTGGGGAAAGTGATCTTACAAATTGCATATATGGCAGATCTTTTGGAACCCCCTCGTACCTTGTACGAGGGTATTCTTTCTCTTCGAAAGAGATATCAACAAATGACTCACTATCTGAATCTTTCCACTTCGCTGCCTCGACGCTTGCCTACAAATGCAGCAATGATACGATTGATCAAGGAAAAAGCCAAAGCTCCCCTCACTGATGTCCGGATCTGATGAGTGGAGCTTACAAGATTAGGAACCATCCCTAGCACTATTGATCCAGAAATCGACAAAGAAGAAAATGAGACTTAGGTGGTTAGCCCTGCGGAGTCAGATATGCTTGCCACTTTGTTTTCAGTTCGAACGAGCAACTCCATGTTTCGAGCATAAAAGGAATGTGTCCGCTCGTTCCTGATTGGTCAGAAATCCGAATCGATATTTTTAGCACTACTCAAACAGTCATTGTCCTGTCTCTTGTTCCGCAAGAAATACGTAAGCTTCTAGAGGATGTATTGCATGACTATGTTGTTGTGTTGAGCGTGCATGATCCCGATATTGGAATGACAAATGTGATTGAATGTGAGATAATTTCGGTTGACCATCTGTCAATTAGCCACACTCCCTATCGATATTCCCTTGCACAACGGCTTGCGTTTTTCAGAGGATTAAGGAGTTTGAAGCTAATAGATGGATCGAACTTGCGATTGAGCCTTGGTTATTCCCGGTAGTGATTGTAAAAAAAAAGACGGAAGGAATTCAAATTTGCATTGATTATCGCAAGTTGGATGATATCACGATCAAAGATGTGTATCCCCTCCCTCGGATTGACGAGTTGTTGGATGCTATTGGATGTGTGCGTTTTTTCAACAAGTTTAATGTTCGCCATGGCTTCCAATGGATCCAATGCCCAATAGGCTTTTGCAATGCTCCAGCTACGTTTCAACGCGCAATGAATATGACCTTCCATAACTTCGTGCGAAAAACGCAGTTGCAGAGCATCATTAACTATTGTGTAATCGTATGTATGGATGATATTTTGGTGTATTCAAGCACCTACGAAAGACATGTGCAACATATTGGACATTGTATGCGCTGAAGGATGCGGGTTTCAAGGTTGCCCTAGAAAGGTGTCAGTTCCTCTTGACGAAGCTTTCATTCCTGGGACACATGGTCATAGGCAAAGGATTGCAGTCGGAACCATAGACAGTGTGAGTAATACGAAACCCGCCGGTGCCAACATCACTTACACCAGTTCGCGTGTTCCTGGAACTCACTTCGCACTATCGGAGGTTTATAAAAGCGGGACCGCTCACGAATCTTCTGAAGAAAGATCAGCCGCTGATCTGGACTCCGCAATATGATTAGGCGTTTCGGGAGCTAAAGACGACTATGATTTCGGCCCCCATTCTCATGAGGCCGAACCCAAAAAACCTTTCATTCTCATTACCGATTGGCAACCTAAGGCAATCTCTGCGATTTTGGCCTAGGACCTGACGGTGTGGAACATGTGGTGGAATACTCCTCCAAGACCGTGCCTGCCTGCAAGAGGAACTACTCGGCGCCAACAGGGGAATGCTTTGCTGCTCTATGGGTTATCAGTCACTTCAGAGAATACTTATACGGTCGTAAGTTCACTCTTGTTACAGACCACGAGCCGTTCCTGGCCTTGACGAAGTCCAAGGACTACTCAAGTATGATGGGACGATGGATGGCCACGTTACAGACCATGAAATTTGACATTCGCCATCAAAAGCACGAGCGACACGAAAACGTTGATGAGTTGACACGTCTGCATCGGCCTAACAAAGTTCTTGCAAGCGAGGAAGTGCTTCCATGGAAAACTCCCGAACCAAAGAATGAGCCCAAGTATGATGAGGTGGATATTTTTTAGAAGGTTTAAACCTTCACTTGTGAGCAATGGCTGCCCCCTCTTTTTCCCCTGATTGCCCCACCCCCTTCCAAACCCCCGATCCCTCCTTCTCGGATCTACCCGACAAATTCTGTTATTTCTGTACGAGCATTTCTCGAGTTTACGAAGTTGGTTCTTACGCACATTAGTTCCAATTTGCGGAATAGGTAGATTCTGGCACGTGTGTCGCATGACGGGTGTATTCGTTACCGGATGGTTAGTAAGGCTTGAACGTGCTCTCTCTGTCGAACGGATAAGCTTCCAATGGAAGCTTGATTCATAGCTGCCAGAACTTACGAAACCGCATATGACGAGAGAGACAGACGCGTCGAAGCTTGGACATACATAATTATTTTGATACACTTAGCTGGCAAATCACTAGACGCCTAAACGAGAGGTGACAAACAGAGCGCTAAAGAACGATCTCGAGATTACCGATGGATCAATGACCACGTAGAAAACGTAAAATAGACGGATCGAAGTTATGGTTGATGATTCCTCATCCATTTCAGCGGTATGATTGAACAAGCCGCTCACTTTGCAATACTTGTCACCGAAGTGACCATCGATCGAAATCAATGATTCTGGTCTATTATTCGAGAAGATGTAAAGCACATGGTCGAAAATTGTCTCGTTTATTCCACCGATCGAGCGTCGATCCGCCAACCAAACACTATGGTAACGACGGAAGTTGAACGTCCGTTCCCGCGTGTCAGTATGGACATGACAAATATCGATGTGCCACCCGGACCTAACCGTTGTGAATATCCGATTCTATTGGTCGTCATCGGCCATTTTTCGAAGTATATAGAGGTTTATCCCTAGAAGGCTAGAAGACACGTAAAGACTTGAAATTGCTACCTATATCGATTGCTACCTCAATACCCATCTAGATACAGAAGAGATTTGAACCGACAATC